TCATACACAACCTCACAATTTATACTAATTAACTGACTTATTAACAACCCAAACATAAAGGGTTACAATTTTTTTATTTATAAAAATGATATCAATTTAATAAAAAATGGAAATTAGATTTTAAATTTTATTTAAAGAGAATTATTAATTGTATATGATTTGAATAAAATGTTTTAATTTTAAAATTCAAATCAATTTATTTTTTAAATTCAGAATATTAAAATCATAAAAATGTATTTTATTAATAAAAATAAAGTTTTATTTAATAATTTATTTTAAATCAATTAAATATCTTTCTTTTATTGATTTTAAAAATAAATGATTAGTTTTTTAAATCACTGAAAATTTTATTTTAAATAAATTTTTAAACAAACTTTTAAATGGGATTTAATGATGTTGATATGATAAATCAAAAGAATGAAAAAGAAATGAGTAAGATTGAACAATTTGAAAGACTTAAAGTGTGGATAGAAGATTCATTAGATCTTTTTAAGAATGATTTAATATCACTTATCTATCCTACATTTTTAAGGATTTATTTAGATGAGATTATTACAGGAAATACAATTCAAGCTAAAGAATTCTTCAATAAATACAAGAATGAATTTGATAAAAAGTCAGATTTAAACCAATTTGAAAACATCTTTACTCAACAACATGTTATGCAGAATAGTATTGTGTATGGATTTTATAATAACAAGTATTTCTTAGTAATGAGTAAGTATGCATACAGTCTATTGATTAATTTTTTAGAAGAGAATAATATGATTTATATATTAAAATTGATGAACTCAGATATGGAAATTAAGGTTATTACCAATGTTGAAGATAATAAAAACAATACATCATCAGGTGTTAATGTTATCTGTGATAATAAGCCATTAAACCTAACCACCAGTCTTATAACAATTGAAACTCAATCAAGTGTATTATCTCAAGATAGGTATAAATATGATCATTTAGAAACGTATGTTCAACAAATAAAGAAATCAAGAAAGTCTGAAAATAAGGTTAAACCATCACCATCATTCGTAGAAGCTGAAATTGAAAAACTTAAAGATATAATTAAGAGAGTTTCTGTTAATCCTGAATATTTACCTAGTATTTGTTGTTACACTGTTCAAAATACTTATGAGAGTTTAACTTGTGCGGAAATTTCTAATGACTTGAAGTTCTTAGCATGTGGTTATAATGATTCTTATATTGATATTCACAGTTTAACTAAGATCCCATTAAGGAAATTAAAAACATCAACTGAATTAGCTTCAATTGATATCAATAGTGATGAAGACAAATATGAGAATGTGGGTGAAGTGTATAGATTAATAGGTCATTCTGGTCCAATTTTAAGTATTAAGTTTTCTAACACTTCAAAGTTTTTAATCTCTTCATCTGCTGATTGTACTATTAGACTTTGGTCGGCACTGATTTGATTGGCGCCCCATTTCATGATTGGCGCCCCATCTTTTAGTTTTAATCCGTCAATT